AAAAACTATAAAAACTATAAAAACTATAAAAACTATAAAAACTATAAAAACTATAAAAACTATAAACTAGTAAAAACTATAAAAACTATAAAAACTATAAAAACTATAAAAACTCTAAAAACTATAAAAACTATAAAAACTATAAAAACTATAAAAACTATAAAAACTATAAAAACTATAAAAACTATAAAAACTATAAAAACTATAAAAACTATAAAACTATAAAAACTATAAAAACTATAAAAACTATAAAAACTATAAAAACTATAAAACTATAAAAACTATAAAAACTATAAAAACTATAAAAACTATAAAAACTATAAAAACTATAAAAACTATAAAAACTATAAAAGCTATAAAAACTATAAAACTATAAAACTATAAAAACTATAAAAACTATAAAAACTATAAAAACTATAAAAACTATAAAACTATAAAACTATAAAACTATAAAAACTATAAAAACTATAAAACTATAAAACTATCAAAACTATCAAAACTATCAAAACTATCAAAACTATCAAAACTATCAAAACTATCAAAACTATCAAAACTATCAAAACTATCAAAACTATCAAAACTATCAAAACTATCAAAACTATCAAAACTATCAAAACTATCAAAACTATCAAAACTATCAAAACTATCAAAACTATCAAAACTATCAAACTATCAAAACTATCAAAACTATCAAAACTATCAAAACTATCAAAACTATCAAAACTATCAAAACTATCAAAACTATCAAAACTGTCAAAACTATCAAAAGTATCAAAAGTATCAAAAGTATCAAAACTATCAAAACCATCAAAACCATCAAACTATCAAAACTATCAAAACTATCAAAACTATCAAAACTAACAAAACTATCAAATTTATCAAAACTATCAAAACTATCAAAACTATCAAAACTATCAAAACTATCAAACTATCAAAACTATCAAAACTATCAAAACTATCAAAACTATCAAACTATCAAAACTATCAAAACTATCAAAACTATCAAAACTATCAAACTATCAAAACTATCAAAACTATCAAAACTATCAAAACTATCAAAACTATCAAAACTATCAAAACTATCAAAACTATCAAAACTATCAAAACTATCAAAACTATCAAAACAATCAAAACTATCAAAACTATCGAAACTATCGAAACTATCAAAACTATCAAAACTATCAAAACTATCGAAACTATCGAAACTTTCGAAACTTTCGAAACTATCGAAACTATAAAAACCACAACAACTATAAAAACAATAAAACTATAAATACTGTAAAAACTGTAAAAACTGTAAAAACCGTAAAAACCGTAAAAGCCGTAAAAACCGTAAAAACTGTAAAAACTGTAAAAACTGTAAAAACTGTAAAAACTGTAAAAACTATAAAAACTATAAAACCTATCAAAACTATAAAAACTATAAAAACTATAAAAACTATAAAACTATAAAAACTATAAAAACTATAAAAACTATAAAAAACTATAAAAACTATAAAACCTATAAAAAACTATAAAAACTATAAAAACTATAAAAAACTATAAAAACTATAAAAACTATAAAAACTATAAAAACTATAAAAACTATAAAAACTATAAAAACTATAAAAAACTATAAAACTATAAAAACTATAAAAACTATAAAAACTATAAAAACTATAAAATCTATAAAAAATATAAAAATATAAAAACTATAAAAACTATAAAAACTATAAAAACTATAAAAACTATAAAAACTATAAAAACTATAAAACTATAAAAACTATAAAAACTATAGAAACTAAAAATATCAAAACTATCAAAACTATCAAACTATCAAAACTATCAAAACTATCAAAACTATCAAAACTATCAAAACTATCAAACTATCAAAACTATCAAAACTATCAAAACTATCAAAACTATCAAAACTATCAAAACTATCAAAACTATCAAAACTATCAAAACTATCAAAACTATCAAAACTATCAAAACTATCAAAACTATCAAAACTATCAAAACTATCAAAACTATCAAAACTATCAAAACTATCAAAACTATCAAAACTATCAAAACTATCAAAACTATCAAAACTATCAAACTATCAAAACTATCAAACTATCAAAAACTATCAAAACTATCAAAACTATCAAAACTATCAAAACTATCAAAACTATCAAAACTATCAAAACTATCAAAACTATCAAAACTATCAAACTATCAAAAGTATCAAAAGTATCAAAACTATCAAAACTATCAAAACTATCAAAAGTATCAAAAGTATCAAAACTATCAAAACTATCAAAACTACCAAAATTATCAAAACTATCAAAACTATCAAAACTATCAACACTATCAAAACTATCAAAAGTATCAAAACTATCAAAACTTTCGAACCTATCGAAACTATAAAAACCATAACAACTATAAAAACAATAAAACTATAAAACTGTAAAAACTGTAAAAACTGTAAAAACTGTAAAACTGTAAAACTGTAAAAACTATAAAACCTATAAAAACTATAAAAACTATAAAAACTATAAAAACTATAAAAACTATAAAAACTATAAAAACTATAAAAACTATCAAAACTATAAAACTATCAAAACTATAAAAACTATCAAAACTATAAAAACTATCAAAACTATAAAAACTATCAAAACTATAAAAACTATAAAACTATAAAAACTATAAAAACTATAAAAACTATAAAAACTATAAAAACTATAAAAAACTATAAAACTATAAAAACTATAAAAACTATAAAAACTATAAAACTATAAAAACTATAAAAACTATAAAAACTATAAAAACTCTAAAAACTATAAAAACTATAAAAACTATAGAAACTATAAAAAATATCAAAACTATCAAAACTATCAAAACTATCAAAACTATCAAAACTATCAAAACTATCAAAACTATCAAAACTATCAAAACTATTAAAACTATCAAACTATCAGAACTATCAAAACTATCAAAACTATCAAAACTATCAAAACTATCAAAACTATCAAAACTATCAAAACTATCAAAACTATCAAAACTATCAAACTATCAAAACTATCAAAACTATCAAAACTATCAAAACTATCAAAACTATCAAAACTATCAAAACTATCAAAACTATCAAAACTATCAAAACTATCAAAACTATCAAAACTATCAAAACTATCAAACTATCAAAACTATCAAAACTATCAAAACTATCAAAACTATCAAAACTATCAAAACTATCAAAACTATCAAAACTATCAAAACTATCAAAACTATCAAAACTATCAAAACTATCAAAACTATCAAAACTATCAAAACTATCAAAACTATCAAAACTATCAAAACTATCAAAACTATCAAAACTATCAAAACTATCAAAACTATCAAAACTATCAAAACTATCAAAACTATCAAAACTATCAAAACTATCAAAACTATCAAAACTATCAAAACTATCAAAACTATCAAAACTATCAAAACTATCAAAACTATCAAAACTATCAAAACTATCAAAACTAATCAAAACTATCAAAACTATCAAAACTATCAAAACTATCAAAACTACAATCAAACTATCAAAACTATTAAAACTATCAAAACTATCAAAACTTATCAAAACGATCAAACTATCAAAACTATCAAAACTATCAAAACTATCAAAACTATCAAAACTATCAAAACTATCAAAACTATCAAACTAATCAAAACTATCAAACTATCAAACTATCAAAACTATCAAAACTATCAAAACTATCAAAACTATCAAACTATAACACTATAAAAACTATCAAAAACTATAAAAACTATAAAAACTATAAAACTATAAAACTATAAAACTATAAAAAAACTATAAAAACTATAAACTATAAAAACTATAAAACTATAAAAACTATAAAAACTATAAAAACTATAAAAACTATAAAAACTATAAAAACTATAAAAACTATAAAAACTATAAAACTATAAACTATAAAAACTATAAAAACTATAAAAACTATAAAAACTATAAAAACTATAAAAACTATAAAAACTATAAAAACTATAAAAACTATAAAAACTATAAAAACTATAAAAACTATAAAAACTATAAAAACTATAAAACTATAAAACTATAAAAACTATAAAAACTATAAAAACTATAAAACTATAAAAACTATAAAAACTATAAAAACTATAAAAACTATAAAAACTATAAAAACTATAAAAACTATAAAAACTATAAAAACTATAAAAACTATAAAAACTATAAAAACTATAAAAACTATAAAAACTATAAAAACTATAAAAACTATAAAACTATAAAAACTATAAAAACTATAAAAACTATAAAAACTATAAAACTATAAAAACTATAAAAACTATAAAAACTATAAAAACTATAAAAACTATAAAAGCTATAAAAACTATAAAAACTATAAAAACTATAAAAACTATAAAAACTATAAAACTATAAAAACTATAAAAACTATAAAAACTATAAAAACTATAAAACTATAAAAACTATAAAAACTATAAAAACTATAAAAACTATAAAAACTATAAAAACTATAAAAACTATAAAAACTATAAAAACTATAAAACTATAAAAACTATAAAAACTATAAAAACTATAAAAACTATAAAAACTATAAAAACTATGAAAACTATGAAAACTATGAAAACTATGAAAACTATGAAAACTATGAAAACTGTGAAAACTGTGAGAACTATGAAAACTGAAAAATATGAAAACTATGTAAACTATGTAAACTATGTAAACTATGTAAACTATGTAAACTATGTAAACTATGTAAACTATGTAAACTATGTAAACTATGTAAACTATGTAAACTATGTAAACTATGTAAACTATGTAAACTATGTAAACTATAAACACTATGAAGACTATAAAAACTATAACAACTATCAAAACTATCAATACTTCCAATAACCCTCAAAACTCTCAAGACTCTATCGGTTAACATGATGACATCGTTGCGTGGCGAGTGCAGAGTCAACCTACTTGACGCTATTTTGGAATCTCAGAATTGACGCCGATCTCTTCATTCCAGGGATACGCAACAGTAGGACATTGAAAGGAATGCGACTTCACGTTCCGATAGCTGTGCGAGTGGGCCATTCGGTGACCTTGTGCTGTGAATATGACCTTGAAGGTGCCGCCCTCTACTCCGTCAAGTGGTATCGGGACGAGGACGAGTTCTACAGATACGTGCCCAAGGAGGAGCCACCCACCAGGGTGTTCCCTATACTGGGCCTGCAAGTAGATGTAAGTGAGGTAGAGGCAAGGAAATCGTGGCCCCGGAAAATGAACATCGTGTTGTACAAATCAAAGCAGTCCTCCCATTTTGACACGTTTTTTTCTGTTCTTTGCAGGTGTCTATGTCCGACGCACATAACGTGACTTTGATATCAGTATTACGAGATATAACAAGAACTTACCAGTGTGAAGTCTCAGCAGACGCTCCATCATTTCATACGCAGATAATGGGTGCGCCAATGACAGTAGTAGGTGAGTTGGAAACACACTTTCTTTACATGATGAATTGTTATCGTCGTTTCGGATGATATGAAGGAGTTTTCCAAAGTGCAAAATCGATCAATGTAAAATAAAAGGTGTTATAATCTGACTAATTCCGATTTCTTAAGATACGCTTTTAGTATAACAAGTTCCAATATGGTAGGGCACATATAACAGATCGTTGCCATTCCTTCGGTATGTGTATTGATAATGTATTTCTGCTGATATACTGTTTAGTTCAATATTTAAGGTCATTGATATGTATTTTTTCGTAGTTGTACCAGTAGGAGTGCCAATAGTGATAGTAGATAAGGCTGGCTTAGAACATGGTCGACCATTGATAGCAGATTGCCATGCCCCTCCATCGTTTCCAGCATCCAATATCACATTGTACGTCAATGACGAAAGGGTAAGCATTTTCAAAAGTTAGGACTACTATCTAGAACATACCTCCAGAATCCTTCCATAACTGTCACAGCTCATTGATGTCCGAGGTCTCAGAACAAAACACTCAAATCTCTCGACAGTGTAAAACTCCCAAGACTGCCAAAACTATACAGACTCTCAAAAATCTCAGAACCCTCACGATCAAAACTATCAAAGCCAACACAACTATCAAAGCTCTCAAGACTCGCTTTAAATCTCTCACACTCTCAAAAACTATCAAGCCTCAAAATTCTCAAAACTTTCAAAACCCTCAAAACTTTCAAAACTCTCGAAAACCTCAAAACTTTCGAAACCCTTAAGCTCGCAACACTTTCAAAACTCTCAAAACGCTTAAGCTCTAAAAACTCTCACAACCTTCAGAGCTCTCAATACTCTCTTCGGACTCTCTCACACTTTCAAAAACTCACAAGCCTCAAAATTCTCAAAACTTTCAAAACCCTCAAAACTTTCAAAACTCTCGAAAACCTCAAAACTTTCGAAACCCTTAAGCTCGCAACACTTTCAAAATTCTCAAAACGCTTAAGCTCTAAAAACTCTCACAACCTTCAGAGCTCTCAATACTCTCTTCGGACTCTCTCACACTTTCAAAAACTCACAAGCCTCAAAATTCTCAAAACTTTCAAAACCCTCAAAACTTTCAAAACTCTCGAAAACCTCAAAACTTTCGAAACCCTTAAGCTCGCAACACTTTCAAAACTCTCAAAACGCTTAAGCTCTAAAAACTCTCACAACCTTCAGAGCTCTCAATACTCTCTTCGGACTCTCTCACACTTTCAAAAACTCACAAGCCTCAAAATTCTCAAAACTCCCAAAAATCTTAAAACTGTCAAAACTCTCAAAAACCTCAACACTTTCGAAACCCTTAAGCTCGCAACACTATCAAAACTCTCAAAACGGTTAAGCTCTAAAAACTGTCAGTACCTTCAGAGCTCCCAGTACTCTCTTCTGACTATCTAACACTTTCAAAAACTCACAAGCCTCAAGATTCTCAAAACTCCCAAAAATCCCAAAACTTTCAAATCCCTCAAAACTTTCATAACACTCAAAAACCTCAAAACTTTCGCAACCCCCAAGCTCACAACACTTTCAAAACTCTCAAAACGCTTAAGCTCTAAAAACTCTCAGAACCTTCAGAGCTCTCAATACTCTCTTCTTACTCTCTCACACTTTCAAATCTCACAAGCCTCAAAATTCTCAAAACTCCCAAAAACTTCAAAACCCTCAAAACTGTCAAAACTCTCAAAAACCTCAAAACTTTCGAAACCCTTAAGCTCGCAACACTTTCAAAACTCTCAAAACGGTTAAGCTCTAAAAACTCTCAGAACCTTCAGAGCTCCCAGTACTCTCTTCTCTATCTAACACTTTCAAAAACTCACAAGCCTCAAAATTCTCAAAACTCCCAAAAATTCCAAAACTTTCAAAACCCTCAAAACTTTCAAAACACTCAAAAACCTCAAAACTTTCGAAACCCTCAAGCTCACAACACTTTCAAAACTCTCAAAACGCTTAAGCTCTAAAAGCTCTCAAACCTTCAGAGCTCTCAATACTTTCTTCTGACTATCTAACACTTTCAAAAACTCACAAGCCTCAAAATTCTCAAAACTCCCAAAAATTCCAAAACTTTCAAAACCCTCAAAACTTTCAAAACTCTCAAAAACCTCAAAACTTTCGAAACCCTTAAGCTCGTAACACTTCCAAAACTCCCAAAACGCTTAAGCTCTAAAAACGCTCAAACCTTCAGAGCTCGCAATACTCTCTTCTGACTATCTAACACTTTCAAAAACTCACAAGCCTCAAAATTATCAAAACTCCCAAAAATCTCAAAACTTTCAAAACCCTCAAAACTCTCAAAAACCTAAAAACTTCCGAAACCCTTAAGCTCGCAACACTTTCAAAACTCTCAAAACGCCTAAGCTCTAAAAACTCTCAGAACCTTCAGAGCTCTCAATACTCTCTTCTGACTCTCTCACACTTTCAAAAGCTCAACAAGCCTCAAAATTATCAAAACTCCCAAAAATCTCAAAACTTTCAAAACCCTCAAAACTTTCAAAACTCTCAAAAACCTCAACACTTTCGGAACCCTCAAGCTCGCAACACTTTCAAAACTCTCAAAACGCTTAGAAGAAAACCTTCAGAGCTCTCAATACTCTCTTCTGACTCTCTCACACTTTCAAAAGCTCACAAGCAAAATTATCAAAAATTTCAAAACTTTCAAAACCCTCAAAACTTTCAAAAGCCTAAAAACTTTCGATACCCTTAAGCTCACAAAACTTTCAGAACTCTCAAAAACCTCATAACTTTCGAAACCCTTAAGCTCACAACACTTTCAAAACTCTCAAAACGCTTAAGCTCTAAAAACTCCCAGAACCTTCAGAGCTCTCAATTGTCTCTTCTGACTGTCAAAATTCTAAAAACCATGACTTAATATTTTCAGTAATGTCAAGACCCACAAAAGCTTTCAAAACCCTCAAAAACTATATTGTTGTAGGTTCCAGGTTACACTTCGGAGTGGATCACACCCTGGGAGGATAACCTAGAGAAGCGATCTGCTCGTCTCGAATTGAGCGGAGTTGGAGGCAGCTGGGGAGCCTTGAGGCTGCGCTGTGAAGCCACGTTGTTTCGTGTGTACAAAGCGAACAGTTTGGAGGTGGAAGTACGCCCAGACACGCCACAACCAGCGTCTGTTTTGCTCATGGGGCCAAGTAATGCAGGTAAGAAATTTACTAAGTCTTCAGAATGAGCACGCTTATTTTTCAAAAACATTTGGAATTTGTTTCTTCAATACGTTGCTTCAGTGTAAGTAATTGTCTATTTCGCTTTTTATAGCAAAATATTGATTAGCCAATTCAATGCGGAAGTAATGACGAAACAAAAAGAGATGCAAAATAGCCTAGGCTGCTTTGTCACTCCGGTAGGCAACGATAGGCAAAGTATGCACAAAAACTACGCAATTTTAGCGACGGATAATGCAATATAGCTCCTGCTAATCTATTTGAATTATTTTCGCACATCCACCGGATTTTCAAATAGCAAGCACTTTCACCATTCTTAGCAAAAATAACCAATATACGTATTTTCAGATAGAAAAAACACTGCAGCATCTATACATCTTCTAGTGCTACTTGTAGGTAGCTATAGAATTCTACCGTTCCAGCAGAATTTAAAGAGTTAGTTAATAAGCTGGCTTTAGAAAATATAGGAAGAGACACTCCAATGACGCAGACTGTTCTGGATCATATTGTCATACAGAGAAGTACCTAACTTTTTTTAATGCTGAAAAAATTCCAGTTTTTTTCAGATGAGATAGTAAAATTATGCGAAATGATCGAAATGCTGACACATTGTTAACAATCAACTGTAAGTCTACTCCTTTTTATTTCAAATTGTACCACCGGATCTCGAATTTGCGAGTGGAGTTTGCTTCCAATCTGAATAATACGTGTAAATATATGTTACGACTGTGATTAACAAATTTTTTATCTTGTAAATAAATTGGTTTTAGGAAAATTCTCTATTTATTGCATTTCCCCTATTCCTCCAATTTTTCGTCTAAATTTAAACCATTAATAAATGTATTATAGCTGTTTAAACAGACTAGACTATTTACGTACCAATTTGAACTATCTTTGGACATCATATGGTTGATTTTTATTCCTGCTATAATTTAAATGTGAAAAATCACTGAAATCATATCAAAAAACAGCCGGCGCCATCTCTTATTGAAAATTCTTATAACCGTAACATTTAATCTAGGCGCTACGTCTCATCGAGTCAGAGATTAAAAAGAAACCTGTGTCGTTGAAAAGAAGAAAGCGTATAACTTACAGTAGAGCTTCACAGATGGTGCCACACAAATATAAGTGCTGCCATCTACCCGAGATAGTCTTAACAAATACAATGTTCAAGCAGTTACGAGAAATAAATCTGTATGCGCGGCTAATCCATCAAGTTTCTATTGAATTGTGAATTCGGAGAGCCAGTATCTCAAGAACTGTATGATTTAAATGAGAAACCGCTTGAAAAAAAGAAATGAAGATAAAAAAACTGACGCTTTGACGTACTAAATGAATCGTTACACCGGGATAGACATACGATCTTGTCATCTAGGTTGCGACGTTGCCAGCTCATCCGACACTTTTGCTACCTCTGCCATTTTGCTAGAATGTTATAAAAAAAGTCTTAGATAAAATATTGAGGGATATCAATGGAGATATATTAAAATTTGAGGCGTTTGCCAAGAAACGGATCGTTAATGTCTCTGAACACTTTTATAATTGCCCAGTTTTGTAGGATAAAATGCTTCTTCCAACAATAATTGGAAAAAACAATGTTTTATTATATAAGTATATTTATTAACTATTTGATATAATATTACAAGATCATTAGTAGGAGAAGTACGATTTTCATTTTCTCTGCTCTTTATTAGTGAAATATGGCTGTACTACCCGGCCTTATGGTATCACTGCAGGCAGGTACAGCACTTACACGCTTCAATCTCTCGGCAACCGTCGGCGCAGCGGAATGTCCACGCGTTCACAGCTCCGTGCAGAGCTCTATCCAGTTAAGCTATTTTTTTAATAGTGGTTCTTATAGGGTTCTCGATTGTCTCTCAGTGGTGCTTTGGTGTTTTAGTGTTGTGACGTGGGTGTCAAGTGTCTCCAAAGTGGAAATTAGGTCTACTTCCAACTCTTCTGAGGTAAACAGGATACATGTGCAGCAAACTACGTGAGCCTTGCACACTCATCTACTTTTTTTTATATCGAAGCAGCCGCACAGACAGAAGCCTAAATGCCGGAACACCGCGGCCTCTTTGATGATCCCAAAGAAATTAGGTTGTTAGGGTTGACATCCTATGTTTTTTTTAAATAAATTGCGCACATTGCATACCATGAGAGATTTGTCATATACTGAGATATTCCTGAAAAACTAAAATTTGGCCAAATCGTTTTTATTTTTGTCTGACTTTATTTTAACAAATGTCAAAAAACTAATGGCACTACATGGTGTTTTTAGATGTGCCCGAACTGCACAACATTTAAAAAAGTACGATCTTGTATCTAATAGCATCTTTTTCTACGACTTCAACTATGTATCACGTTACATTTGTTTTTTTTTTCAAGTTATAAACAAACGTGTTTTTTTCTATTTTTTTCATTTCATTTAAGTGCGCGTTACAAACAACTGCTTGATGTAAGATTATGTGATTACTAAATTTAACCTCGTCTGATCCTTATCTTGGCCACCCTGTAATACATTATTAAAAAAAGAAATTCACAGAAACTTGCACTAATCTAACGTTCTTGTAAGTATTCTTATGTACTTACATTCATTTCTGAAAAATCTCAAAGTTATTAGCGAAGCCTCGAACAAAATACTATTTTTAGTCCAAGGAATTGGTGATAGTCCATAATTGACAGTATCGTGCTTTGACACAAAGCCCTTGGCACTATGTTTACTACATATGCGTTGATTCTCTGGCGTTTTCAAACCTGGAATCTCAGCCCCGTGTTTAGGAAACTACAATGTCTTACCTCGGTTGTTGGAGGATACGTGGGCACCAAATGTCCAACAAGAGTAGGGATGTGATGCGTCCACATCCGCCTACCTGTAATTCCACATGATCAACGAGTTATATGTTGGGTTCACGCTATCAAGCTGTCCATTTTTAACTTTCTATTGATATTGATATATACTAATAAATAAGAGTAAAATGAAAATCGTACTTCTATTATTGATCATGTAATTTTAGATCAAATAGTTAATAAATATATTTATATCATACAACATTGTTTTTTTCCAATTGTTGGAAGAGTCCCGTATCCAAAAAGTATTTTATCCTATAAAACCGACCGTTTAAAAAATGTTCTGAAACATTAACATTGCTATGCCTCAAATTTTATATACCTCCATTGGTATTCCTCAATATTTTATTGAAAACCTCTTTTTTTTATAACATTCTATCAAAATTGCAGAAGTAGCAAAATCGTTCGATGAGTTGGCAACGTCGCCATCCAGGTGGCAAGAATGACTAGGTTATCTGTCAAACAGGATGTCTATCCCGGGGTACCGATGAAGTCATTTAGTACGTTAAAGCCACAATTCAATTTTCATTTGCTTTTTTTTAAATGTTGTGGAAGGATTTCGGCAAAAATTTCGCTAAGGGTAGTTTTCTAGAGTCTAGTAGAATACATTTCAACAGTTGTTTTGCGTGGCCAAGTATTCTGTACTTAGATTTTTATCTTCAGATTGATCCGTTATATTGAAATACCAGCAAACACACCATTTATAGCAGGTAACGGCCATACCACGCTGAATACGCCGGCTCTCGTCCGATCGCCGAAGCTAAGCAGCGTCGGGCGCGGTTAGTACTTGGATGGGTGACCGCTTGGGAACACCGCGTGTCGTTAGCTTTTTTGGTTTTTCGTCTTTTACTTTTTATTTTTTTCATCGAAACTGGGACTTGTATTTTATTTTACGGACGTTATCAATAAGTAGTCAGAGACTTGCTGAATAAAAGTTTTTATAAAGGTTTGTCAGACAAACATGGCCGCTTACAATATACAGGGTGTCCGCAAAGTTGGGGTTTTCCTTTACACGACGTGTAGATCTTGAAAACATAAGCAATTTTTCTCAGTACCATATACACCAATGTCTTGAGGGAACCGAGATAAAGGGCTCTGCAACATCAAAAATATCTGAATACCGTCCTGTAGCCGCGACCCGGGACATCACCGATTGATACAAGGTCTCAACCCGACGGCAGAACTGGGTCGGGGTCAGTGTGTCAGGTCAGTATACAACCTTCAACCGACGGTTACGGTCACGCGTGTAGAGGTAAACGAACCCATATAATCGATTGCGTTTCAAAAAACAACAAGCACTAGAGGCGTGGCTAGAAAAGTGCAAGTATCAAAAACTAAAGTGTGGCAAACGCTGCGTGAAGAGGGGCACTTTTTGAAGTGCATAATGGTGACAGACGAATCTACGTTCACGCGTAATGGGGTGAATAACTTTCGCAACACTCATGTTTGGTCATTACGCAACATTTTGCCTTCCTTGTTTGCCTGCGTCTGCTCGGTAGCGCATCAGCTGATTTCATTTTCTGTTGGAGTGGTATGATTTCGGGCAGAGACGTACTTAGCCCTTCTCGTCAACTGGAGAGTGAGTACTTTTTCCTTTATTTTTTTTTACTTGGTCGCCCTCGTTTCACTGCACATTACCTTTGTTATTACAAGGGTAGTTGTTTCTGAAAAGGAAAACCCCAACTTTGCGGACACCCTGTATATGCAAAACTCAGGGGGCCACGTTTTTTGTTTACAGGATGCGCAGGATCAAAAATGCTGAGAACTAGCAAACCCGTTGGTGCATAATATCTTCTATGTTGGGATGTTCCACTTCTAACCCAAGGTGTATCTTATTAAGAATTTAAGAATATTTCACTGTGAAGCAGAATCCAGGGGGGGCATCTGCCCCTCTTGCCCCCTAATGGGCGCCCATGCAGACAAAGAATAACACACATAACTTATAAAGCAAATAGCAGAAACAAACATCTACTGAGGGCAAATTGTCTCTTTTATAATCTACATGGCAAAACTACGAAGAATGTATGTTCTATCGAAATAAGAAGTGCCATCTGTTATCAGAATCGACCTAACAAATTTAATTGTTTTTCCGTGAAGAATATATACAATTTCCAATGGTACAGGTACAAAGATTTGTGTGCATTTGTCTACACAATTTTCAATGATCCAGTGATTCGAATTTGTGTGAAGATTCATAAACAATTTTCAATACTTTTAGTCTGTGAAGTTTTTGTACACAATTTTGAATGGTGGTACGATTATAATTTGTCTGTAAAGTTTCATTACACAATTTCGAATTATATGATTGGCCTGTGCAGACCACCAAACACTCGCGGCTTTGATGAATTGTGATATAAACAAAGATCCATTTGCTGAGATTCCCAAACGACTCACTTTTACCTCAAAATCAGAGCAATCGTTTCCTATCACAGTTATGATACGAAATATAAAACGGAACAATTGATCTGAAAATCCTAAAAGCCAATTATACATTTCCATTTTTCCAATTTTGTATACGTTACAGGTTTCTGTTTTAGTTATAACGTAGCGCGTAGCTTGAACATTGTGTTGTTCAAGCGCTCCCCAGAAGATGGAGCTTGTGGCGTCATCTCTACAAGTAGAATCGAAGCTTATAATTCTAATAATATCAGATATACAGGTATCTTACATGATTGTAACGTAGCGCGTAGATTGAATGCTACGTACTTAAAGCGCTGTCCAAGAGATGGCAGCATGTATTATTTTCTAGCACCATCAAGGATACACAGCTCTTTAACTCATACTGTTTTTTTCATTATTGATGCAGGATACCGGTTTCTTCGTTATTAGCCCTGTTTTTTAGATTTCATATTTTGAGATTGGAGAACATAACATTTTTGAGCAGTTTTAAATTCGCCAATATTTTATCATCCATTTCCGTTGGTCCTTGTGTAATACTTGGTCTAAAACATACTAGTGGGGACGTCGATTCCTTTTTTTTACCTCAACATTTTCTAATGAAAGCGCACTTTCAAACAAGCGCTACAGTTTTATGGGCACCGTGTAGTATATTTATTAAAGACACATTTCTTCAAACTAAGGTCCATTTTATAATAAATTGTGTCATATTTCTTTGAGACAATGAGATTGCCTCGTGGAAGTACTTGTGATCTTGAGTCAATGTCATAATTTCATAGATACCTTTGGTGATATATACAATGTATTCAATGTGTACAATGTATATATACAGTGTATACAATGTATACGCGTATTCACTGGTATATTTTACATGCTATACTAAATATTTATAACATCCAGTATAAATAGCAAATGTTTTATTCATTTATTCGACCAAAGACGTAATGCACAATAAGAGATAATTTAACCTTAAGATACGGATTCAGTTGCATTCCTTGGGGGGTGGGCCTCCAAATTTCTTCGTAAGTTGCAAAATTCTTTCTGCTTCTCGTATACCACTTAACCTACAAATAACCGAATTCAATCGATTAAAATTTATGAGGACGTCTAGTAAAACACGTGTTACAAATTTCATTCAAATCGGAATGTCTGAAAAAGTGTGTTTGAACAAGAATACTTTGATGCCCTCTAATGGATAAACGAAACACGAAGAGGTAAGTCATTCGACTTTTTTGAGACTCAAAATAAGTGGTACTTCTATATCCACGGAATATTAGGAAACTATCTTGGGTTAAGACCGTCATCTGTATAGATACGTACCTCGCACCGTGAACCGTAGAGTGATGGCCTGCGCAAGTAGCCTCACCAGCAAACAACAAAATCGGTGGTACCGGATCGCAGGAACCTGGTACCGGACTGCTCAGATCACATTGATGCCCAATGTTGGAAACCAGATTCATGTAACTGTACGATCCGCAGAAGTACGGGTCGGAGGCCCATTTTGATCTGAGGACGGTAGATGGGAAGGGCAGCGATGCGTCTCCGGTGAACTGCCTCAGGACCTGGAACAAAAACAATTGTAGGACGCCTTTATGGCCTCCGTGATTTTCATAGTTTCTCCTGTCATTCAGAAAGGCGCTCTATTTTGGGGTTATGTTACAAATATCTGTTTGCATCAAATAATAATAATAATATTTATTTACTCTAAAATATAGGGAACATGAAACGAGTAAATAAATATAATATATCCATAGGAGGACAACGCCTGTGCATGGATCATATGTATGTTGAATTGCAAAATATAATAAAATAGAGAGAAAAAAGAAATTATTGGTAAGAATGGTAGAGCATTTATTGTGTAATATTTGAGATTATTTTATTAATTTGATTTCTCCCAATCGTGTTAATAAATTTTTTTAATTTTTTTTTGAAGCCTAATGCATTGCGTAATTGTTTTAAATTATTTGGTAAATGTTCGTACAATTTTGGAGCTATATACAGGTGACATCGTTTCATTAGGGATTTGTTTGGTTTAGGAACATTTTTTGCGCGTAATTTATATCTGGTTTTATGATTATGTTTAATTATGTCGTGTTCACTAATAGTTTTGTGATAATGAGTGATGGTATGTAAGAAGTAAAGTTGTTTAGTATCATATACTTGTGCATCATTATATAAGTCATTAGTTGGGTATAATTTTGATTTGCCCAACATTGATTTTAAAATTCTTCTTTGAAGTACATCTAAATCGTTAAAGTATGTCGTGCATGCAGCACCCCACACTACTATACCATATGTTATGTGTGGCTCGACTAAAGCTTGATATATTATTCGTAGATAATATTCAGTTAATATACCGGTTAGAAATTTTATTTTATATGCTATGAATCTAATTTTCTTTAGTATGTGAGAAATATGTACATCCCATCTCAAGTGGGGATCTAGATATGTTCCTAAATATTTTGTATCATTAACTCTATTGATTTTTATATTTTTATCATTTACCTTAAACCGAAGGTGGTTATATTTTGGTAGATGATTAGATAGTGATGAAAATGGTAAAAAATGAGTTTTAGTAAAGTTAATTGTTAATTTTCGGTTATTAAACCACTGAATAATCTTGCAAGTCATTTTGGATAATATCTTTTAAGTCGTTCCAATTCTTACCTTTATAGAGTATAGCAGTATCGTCTGCAAAACTGACTATTTTACCAGTACTGTTAATTTTGAATATATCGTTTAAATAAATATTGAATAACAGAGGACCCAAAATTGTACCTTGTGGAACACCACATTTAACAAACATTTCTTTACTATACGAGCTTAATAATTTTACTGATTGCGGTCTATTTGATAAATAATTTTCCATTAAAGTATACATCTTTCCACGAAAACCTATTCTTTCTAAGATTTCCAAAAGTATATTGTGGTTAACTGTGTCAAACGCTTTTTGTAAGTCCACAAATACGCATATCGATGGTACTTTTCCATCTATATTTTGGGTTATTTCATCTACTATACTTAATATGTTGTAGATTTGCCCGCTATAAAACCATATTGATTTGAATTTAGAATTTTGAATTTATTAAGAAAATTAATCATTTTATTAAGGAGTAATTTCTCAAAATCTTTAGCTAAACTTGATATAAGTGAAATAGGTCGATAGTTAGCGACGTCCGTATTATCATTAGATTTATAGATAGGTATGATGATTGCTGTCTTGAAAGCTGATGGAAATACTCCAGATTGGAAGGATTTGTTAATGATATAAGCAAGTGGTTCTGTTATTTGTTTGGCCAGTATCTTTAGATGTTCAGCTCTAATTTCGTCAACTCCAGCGCTTTTTTTATTTTTTAGAGTCATAATGGCATTGAAAACATCCTGATAGTCTACTTCAGTTAATACAAATGAATTATTCAGTCTTGTTTCATGCAGATGAATATCAGCAGTTATGTTGCCGACATTTAGCACTTTATTAATTAATATAATAATTGCATTGTACTCCTTTTTACTAGCTCATCACTTTTGGTTTATATTAACGATTGTATCTTAATTATGAGTCAGTCATTCAATCTCAGTCACAGCGAACACACACACTGTAATTCCGGTTCGGTCCATGTAAACTATTGTTGGAATCAAATAAAGTTTTTTAAAAACGAAGTTTGAAGTTCCGACAACATAATTCAGCATTTTGTTTGATATCATTTGCTAAGTTTCCTCCTATATTCGTGAAAAATTCTATGAACTCATCACATATTTGCTGAATATTGTCTGTTTTCTGTCCTCTTTTTGTTTTTATTTCATTAATATTGTTTTTTGAATAGGATGACTTATTGAATATATCATTGACAGTGGACCATAGGTGTCTAGAGTCATGTGAATTATTATTCAATTGTTTTATATAGTAATTTTTTTTGCTTTTCTCAAAAGTTCTATAAATTTGTTTTTATACTGATTATAATGATCTATATTTTCTTTCGTGGGTAAATATTTCAAGATTTTATACAGTCTTTCTTTTTCGTTTGCAGATTTTATTAGTCCTTTGGTCATCCAATCATTTCTGCTTTTTTCCTTGTGACTTATTTTAACCTTATTAGTACTAACTTCAATTACTTTTTGAATTTTGTGTATTAATAAATTTGTAGCTTCGTCTAAAGAATTTCTTAATGTTAATGTTTTCGACTTTTGTCATCTGTTTAGTAACACTTAAAAATTCACTGTAGTGAGAACAGTGCACGTATCGTTGTGAATCTTTGAATTTATGTTTACTAAAGAGTGAGGTTAAGATTCAGCACTGACGTTCGATCCGAGCGGGCTACTATGTTTCTATCTGCAAAACTTAATAGACATCCCTCGTAATAAAATATTATAGGATTCGTGTCCAAAAAACTTCAACACAATACTGAGACGCTAAGAAAGAATGATGAAATCATACTTTCAGGGTTATCAATGAATTATGAAAATCGACAAAAGAAAATCATTGAATAGGGTTTGGCCTAGGTATCTAGTATCACTATCAAAATAGTCTAAGAAATAAGTGATTTTGGTACATTACCAGTGATTTGATTAAAATTTTTTAGTTATTTTACCATTTATTTATTCGTTTGAGTATTTCCTGATTGGCATACAGGTATATTTTGTTTAGACTTATTCTATATTATTCGAATATATACTATGTGACATATAAATCCGAACACCCAGTTTAAATGGTTTTATTTTAATAAAAGTTGGTGAATGTATTGTAAATAACAAGTGAAAAAATGTTCAGCCTTATCAGTTGGACATTCCGGTTTTTATACTGCTTGTTTTTAATTCACTAACGCTCTAAAAATGAATATTTCAGCCGCAGTAAAGAATCAACGTTGGCGGATTTTGGTTCTTGACATCCTTTACGATCGGTTACGATGCCTAGAGTACGGAGACCTGTACGATTTCGTCAACCTAGTGAGTTTGATAGGGGCCGTATAGTGGGACTTCGGGAAGCTGGACTTTCTTTTCGGGCAATTGCAGTTAGAGTGCAAAGAAGTATAGACACTGTGGTTAGGTGTTGTCAGTCATGGCTTCGAGAAGGCCGTACGCAAAGTGCAGGGGGCACTGGACGCCGCCGTAGAACAACAGACCGTGAAGATCGCCGCCTAAGATTATTGGCCTTAAGGGACCGTTTCTCCACTACCAGGTCCATTGCAAATGAATGGTTTGCAGAACACGGAAAACCTATTGGCATGCGAAGTGTTTACCGACGAATGAGAAGTTTTGGCTTGTTTTCATACCGGCCACACTGGGTCCTCCTTTAACTCGAGAACACCGACGTAATCGCCTTGAGTGGTGCAGACAACGGTCACTCTGGGATCAGGAATGGAACAGTATTGTCTTTAGTGACGAGTCTCGATTTTGTTTAGGTATGCACGATGGTCGTGGCAGGGTTAGAAGGCGACGTGGTGAACAGAGGAATCCACAGTTTTTTGTTGAAAGACATGTTCATCACACTGTTGGAGTTATGGTTTGGGGTGCTATAGCTTATGGTTCCAGGTCACCTTTAATCTTCATCAGAGGTAACATGAACGCGCAGCGTTATATCCACGAAGTTCTAGAACCCCATCTTTTACCCTATCTCGACACCCTGGTAGATCCAACTTTCCAACAAGATAATGCCCGACAACATGTTGCAAGAGTCACAATAGACTTCTTTCAACATAATGATGTCACATTGTTACCATGGCCACCAAGATCTCCCGACTTATCCCCAATTGAGCACGTGTGGGATATGATGGGTAGGAGATTGCTCAATTTGCAACGTCCTCCTCGGACTCTAGAAGCACTTCGAGAGGAGTTGGTGGTTGCCTGGAATGAGATACCACAGGAGGACATTGACCACCTGATCAGAAGCATGCCTAGGCGCGTTGGAGAATGCGTAGCACATCAGGGTGCATCCACACATTATTAAAGGTCAAAGGGCTTTAAAGCAGCGCAATCATTTTGAAATTTTTATCATATACTTATTATGCTTCATTAAGTACTTATACAAAATTTTATTAAAATAAAACCATTTAAACTGGGTGTTCGGATTTATATGTCACTTAGTATATTATTTTTTCCAAGTCAGAATTTAGTATGTGTAAAGCAGTGTCTATAATTTCATCTGTTGTATCGTCTACAAGTATCTGAATTTAAGAATAATCTGAAATGTCACAAATGTCATTAATGTATAAAATAAATAGTATTGGACCTAGTTTACCATCTTGTGGAATGCAAACGGAAGTATTTTTGAGCTTGATGAGCTAGATACAATTCTGACTTTTTGACTTCTACCAATTAAGTAGTTGTAGAATTTTGAATACAGATCCTTCAAGTCCGTAGTGATGCAAAAACACTGTCACTGTATGTTTCCTATTGTCCATACATCTCCTTCAGTCCTCTGAAAGCATTTGTATTGATGTTTAATTTAAATTTTTCTTCCTGAATCCAGCATCTCAATTTTGTTGGAAATTCACCATATATCACGCAGTTATTTATCAGGATTAATATTTCTGCTCCAATAACATCGAAACATTCATTAAGCACCATTTTAATTCCAATTTTAACAGAATTTTCTTGAGATTATAAATGTTCATTTTTGTAGACTCACTGAATGATGTAATGAGAAACTGGTTGGGATCCCCGTCATTATTATGTTTACTTCTAGATCGATCGATATGTTACGCGAAGTTTGAAGAGCTCTTGATTTTGCTAGAAGGTGCTCTTCACATGTTACTAGTCTCTACAGCAGCGTGTAGTGGAAGACTAATGTTAGGTAAGTTTTGAGAGTTTTGGTGCGAATAAACCATGAAAAGGCAAGAAGTATTTATTGCATTGATGCTCCTTTACCTTAGTGATTCCTTCAGCTACTTGTTCGTCAGTAGCATGCTCCATAACAACCGCTTCCGGACCGCTGACGAACGCGCAAAGGACATGCTTGCTGCCATCCACCTCTTCTACAGCGCTCAAGCCTCTCGTCCAGTCCGTTCTCTTGTTCAGTTCGTCTTGCGACCAGGCGAACTTAATGTTGCCCTCGGACCATACCCAAAATGGCCGCTCGTAGTCCAGGAAGATCTTATCCATGTTGCCGTATCCTGAAAATCGGTACGTTTAGGAAAATAAAATGAATTAGGAGGAAAGGTGTTCTCGATTCTCGCATCCGACGTTTATCAATAAAGTCAAATTAATATCTGATTCACAGCTTGGCCTTAGGAACGGTGTATCTACCAATGATGCTATAAATATACTAAGTGACATATAAATCCGAATGTTATACCATTTGTTTTTGCAGTTATTTGTACATTTTCTTTATTATGATTTTTTTGAAAAAAAAAGACTTAGTGTGAAAGTTGAAAATAAAAATTTTCATTCAACATTTAAATGAAAATAAATACGTTTTCAGTAGTGCTTTCATATGTTTTTTAATTTATGAGAATTATTTATTTAAATAATAAACTGAAACCACCAAAAAAAAAGAATGTTTAATCACCAACTTTTTTTTATCTCAACTATTTTACTCTGTAATCTGGGTTGTTTTAAAAAAAAAAAATTCCATAACTTTTTAACCTTTGAATATAGGGTATGGTATTATATGTATACTAATTTTGCCAGCAAATGAGCTGTACTATCACCTCCTAAAATGTTTTTTTTTGCACCTATTTACCTGTCACCCTGTACAGCTATAAAAGTCTAGCCTGAACTGACGTTAAATATTGAAGATACAAACACGAATTTTGGAGGTTGCTTATTATAGACGAATTTACATTTTTGACAAATTCACTTGCTTTGACGCACTTTTCGGTTTGACTGGAAACGACTCCAACTTTCGATTTTTAAATACATATATATATTTTACTTGAATCGATCGAGAATAACATCGATCTCAACAACGCCTAACTTGTCAACATTTGACAAATAAAGTCATTCATATTTCAATTTCTATTTATCGATCTAGAATGCCATATATCGTGTAAATCGTTTCATCTTTGATCAAGTAACACGGTAAAAATACGAAAAGCAAATCAAAACCGATATAATGTCACTTGTCAAGTGACGTAGTGCGGGTACGTGCTTCAATCCCCGTGTAAAACACCTCACCTAAGCTTTTGATAGCGTCCATCTTGTTCGCAGGCAAAGCCGGGCAAAACATTTTCTCCCCGTGTTCCTTCAGCACTCCCAAGCTGACAGTGATAATGACGTAATCCGCGCAGTATTCTTCGCCGTCGCAACATTGTACGACTGCCCTGGGTCCCTTATTCCGGCTCTGGACGGCGCCCCAACGGATCAGACCCACCGGTTTGCCGAATTTGAGGCTGCAATCTGGCAGGTCTTTCATCAAGGGTGACAGAACGCCCACGAAACCTGCGGGGAAGAGTTGGTGGCAAAATTAGACATGAAAAATGAGGTCAAGTAGGTTGACTCTACAGGGTGTCCGCAAAGTTGGGGTTTTCCTTTTCAGAAACAACTACCCTTGAAATAACAAAGGTAATGTGTAGTGAAACGAGGGCGACCAAAATAAAGGAAAAACTACTCACTCTCCAGTTGACGAGAAGGGCTAAGTACGTCTCTGCCCGAAATCATACCGCTCCAACAGAAAATGAAATCAGCTGATGCGCTACCGAGCAGACGCCGGCGGTGGTGCAGACCACGAACAGAGGTAACAAATACGACGGCGTTGCCGCGTTTTCAGTTTTTAGGTAAATGTACTTTATAGGTATTGTTCGAAATTATCGCCGTTTGATTCAAAAACACAGGTGCGTGCACGACGTAGCCAAGCATCGGTGCAGGCTTTGAGAATGGAGTCCCTCCCCCGAATGAAAGCACCAGCTTGTTCAATTCTGAGACGAAGTTCGTCAACCGTATGCACTTCAGTTTTGTACACTAAGCGTTTCATTTCTCCCCAAAGAAAAAAATCACATGGTGTTAAGTCTGGAGATCGCGGAGGCCACGCTACGGGTCCATTACGTCCGATCCACCTATTCGGAAATAATTCATCCAAAAACTCACGCACTTCGCGTCTAAACTGGGACGGTGCACTATCGTGCAGAAACCACATTGATTGTCTTACACTTAATGGCACATCTTCTAACAAGGAAGGCAAAATGTTGCGTAAAAAGTCTAGGTATTGCATCCCGTCCAATCGATTTGGGAGAATAAATGGTCCAATGAGCATACCGTTCACCATACCAGCCCAAACATTCACCGAAAACGTTTGTTGAAAATGTGCCCGACGGACAGCGTGCGGATTTTCTACTGACCAAACATGAGTGTTGCGAAAGTTATTCACCCCATTACGCGTGAACGTAGATTCGTCTGTCACCAATATGCACTTCAAAAAGTCCGGATTATTGTCATGTTGATGCAACAACCACTCACAAAACCGCACTCTTGCTGTAAAATCGTCAGGTTGAAGGGCTTGTACACGTTGGACGTGAAACGGATACAGCCCCTCTTCACGCAGCGTTCGCCACACTTTAGTTTTTGATACTTGCACTTCTCTAGCCACGTTTCTAGTGAGGGATTCTCGTCTACGCGATTACCTCTACACGCGTGACCGTAACCGTCGGTTGAAGGTTGCATACTGACCTGACACACTGACCCCGACCCAGTTCTGTCGTCGCGTTGAGCTAGTGTCCTAGTACCACTCGGGGATGTCGCGGCTACAGGACGGTATTCAGATTTTTTGATGTTTCAGAGCCCTTTATCTCGGTTCCCTTAAGACATTGGTGTACGTAGTCATGCCATAAGTTCTGTCCCTCGTTTTCAAACAAGTGTAGACCTGTTAATACTTGTCCGATTGTTTACATTGTGGTGTCAGTTGATTAAGCGCTTTTCGGGTAATTACATATACCTCAGTTTGTATTGATCTCTCGAAGCATAACGATGGAGTGGGGCAAGGCAGAGAACCGTATTGCAGTGATAGCTTTACATAAGTGTAATCACAGTGCTAGTCAGATTTTTGAACTCTTACGCGGCCTTCAAATATCGCGTAAATTTGTGTCTAGGACCATTCAGCGGTACAATGAGACGTCCTCTGTTGATGACAGGCCAAGAAGCGGAAGACCTCGTCAAGTAAGGACTCCAGCAGCCATCAAAGCCGTAAAAGCCAGGATTCAAAGGAATCCACTCCGGAAGCAGAAGATCCTATCCAGGGAAATGAAGATTCCTGTCCGGACGATGTCGCGCATCATTAAACAAGACCTAGGGCTAGGGGCTTACCGGAGACGTACGGGCCAGCGACTTACGGCCACCTTGCGACACATCAGGGCGACAAGATCCAAGAAGCTCTTGGAGAGGTACGCAGCTGGGGGATTCCGAAAGATTTTGTTCACGGATGAGAAAATCTTCACCATAGAAGAAAAATTCAACCGACAAAATGACAAAGTGTATGCAAGGAGTTCACAGGAAGCTTCGGAGATCATTCCGAGAGTTGAGAGAGGCCACCACCCTGCGTCAGTCATGGTTTGGTGGGGGGTGTCGTACGAAGGGGTCACTCAGCTCCATTTCTGTAAACAGGGCGTGAAAACAAAAGCGGCAAACTATCAGAGCGACATACTGGATCCTATCGTCAAGCCTTTAAGTGGTACATTGTTTGCCAACCAACACTGGGTCTACCAGCAGGATTCCGCCCCCGCTCACAAGGCTAAGAGTACGCAGCGCTGGCTGGAAAGCAATGTGCCCGAGTTCATTGCTGCGGAAGATTGGCCCTCAGGGAGTCCGGACCTCAATCCTTTAGACTACAAGTTGTGGGACCTGCTAGAGCAGTTGGCCTGCTCCAAAGCCCACCGTAATATCGAGTCCCTGAAAGCGGATTTGATCCGATCAGCGGCAGCTATTCCTTTGGAAGCTGTGCGTGCAGTGATAGATGAGTGGCCCGCGAGATTGAAGCAGTGTGTGAAGGCCAAGGGGGGACATTTTGAATAAAACTGTTTGATTATGAATTCTAAAAATGTTGTCGAATAAATAACATCTTTCATATAAATATATCTTATCTTGTTTCATTTTTATCATGAGATTATCATGGGACAGAACTTATGGCACGACTACGTATATGGTACTAAGAAAAATTGTTTTCAAGATCTACACGTCGTCTAAAGGAAAACCCCAACTTTGCGGACACCCTGTATACAAGCGTTGCTGCAAATCTTTATGATCGGGGAATATGGCAATGACAGTGATCTATGAGTCTGTACTTGTGGTACACACGAAATATACAGAAATAGGTATGACTGAAGTGACGAAAACGAAGCAATGGATTTGCGCGCTTAATTATAGGCAACCAATTCTGCGTCCCTCGTATGACTGGTTGCCTTATACGAGCCCGTTCCCACTTCAGTCGGCCCAACTATTGAAGTCTTAGTTTTTTTCTTATCAAACACAAATAATAAAAATGTAGAAGGGTGTTATAGGTTTAAAATATTAACAATGAATATTTTGATAATATACAGGGTGACTTCGAAGTTGAGTCATTTATTTTAACAGTGAGCAGATCTGATCAGAAGAAATGTTTTTTTTCCTTTAACATTTTTGTGGTAAAATTAAAGTAACAAAGTTATAGCCCATTAGAAGTTTGAGTACCGCCCTGTCTCAATAATAATATTATGTGCTCGTGTTTGGCAACAACGTATATAATCCGCGTTATCGGTTCATCGCATCGGAAACAAAAAAGCGAGAAAATTTGAAACGCTGATCACGATGTTTTTATTCAGTCAATGTGTCAGTCGGTAACGCGTGAGCGAATAGTGGTGTTTGCTGTGTGGCTCAAACGAAATAAAAAGTGGCACATGTTTATGCGGATCGGTTTCCCAATCGAGTGCAACCAACCCCTCGTACCTTGCCGGTGCTCCAAGACCGCACGATCAAATACAGGTCCGCACTGAAATACTTGTCGGGAGGATACTTTATAAAACAAGGTAAAGGTTTTTTTTAATTTTTTTTTATTGTTACACACATATTCTTCCTTCTACAATCATTATCTAAAAATTAATGACTCAACTTCAAAGTCAAAGTATAAAATTACATAGTCACTGTGTAGAATTCATTTCTTTAGTTTCAAATCTGGAAACATCATACGTATTTTGAAAAATTGTGCGAAATGGGGACTGTCTCTGTATAATGAGGCCTCGTTTCGGTCATACTTTACCTAAGGGTACGCCTACACTACCACCAGGTATATTTATCTGGCTGCCAAAGTTGCCAGCGCTTACTTGACTCAAGTCGTCTCCCAACCTGATTCGTAAGTGGTTCGTGAGTCCGTACATAATTCGAGATACGTCATACCTTTGATCCTCGGGGAATTTTTGAATCTCCTGCTGGATCCTGTAACCTATGAAGAGATTAAATGAAAGTATCAAGGTGTAGCATACAGAATTAAAACTAAGCCCCATCAAATAGGAAGAATGGCTATGGACAGATTGCATGGGGCTGTTTGACAATTAATCACTCTGGTTTACTATCCCTTTTTAGATATTAGAACAAGAAATCGTATTAGAAGTATTATGAATCCATCTTGCAGACTCAGAAAATATAATTATACAGGGTGGCGCAACGCAAACGAAACAGACGCATTTACTGGCAGCTCAGTTTTTTTTTGGAAAAACGCTCAGACATGTCGATTTTGTTTTTAAAATAAGGTATCACTCGACCCCCCTTTCCATTTAAAATTTTGGGGGTGGTGTCACCCCCGCTTAGGGGGCTGCACGTACTAACGTGATTTTTTGACAAACTTGTGTCTCCCTCGAAAACAAAATCGACGGGAATGAGCGTTTTTCCAAAAAAAAAAACTGAGCTGTCAGTAAATGCGTTGTTTCGTTTTAGATGTGCCACCCTGTATATAGATATACAGTGATCTGGGCGCATGTTATAGTAACACAAATTAGAGGTTGGCCAGTACAAATTGATAGAAATGAAAACATACGATATTTTATGATTAAAAAAAAACGTGTTTTTTGCAAAACTAAATATACTAAGTGACATATAACACCCAGTTTAAATGGTTTTATTTTAATAAAATTCTGTATAAGTACTTAATGAAGCATAATAAGTAAATGATAAAAATTTCAAAATGATTGCACTGCTTTAAAGCCCTTTGACCTTTAGTAATGTGTGGATGCACCCTGATGTGCTACGCATTCTCCAACGCGCCTAGGCATGCTTCTGATCAGGTGGTCAATGTCCTCCTGTGGTATCTCATTCCAGGCAACCACCAACTCCTCTCGAAGTGCTTCTAGAGTCTGAGGAGGACGTTGCAAATTGAGCAATCTCCTACCCATCATATCCCACCCGTGCTCAATTGGGGATAAGTCGGGAGATCTTGGTGGCCATGGTAACAATGTGACATCATTATGTTGAAAGAAGTCTATTGTGACTCTTGCAACATGTGGTCGGGAATTATCTTGTTGGAAAGTTGGATCTGCCAGGGTGTCAAGATAGGGTAAAAGATGGGGTTCTAGAACTTCGTGGATATAACGCTGCGCGTTCATGTTACCTCTGATGAAGATTAAAGGTGACCTGGAACCATAAGCTATAGCACCCCAAACCATAACTCCAACAGTGTGATGAACATGTCTTTCAACAAAAAACTGTGGATTCCTCCTTTCACCGCGTCGCCTTCTAACCCTGGCACGACCATCGTGCATGCCTAAACAAAATCGAGACTCGTCACTAAAGACAATACTGTTCCATTCCTGATCCCAGGGTGACCGTTGTCTGCACCACTCAAGGCGATTACGTCGGTGTTCTCGAGTTAAAGGGAGGACCCAGTGTGGCCGGTATGAAAACAAGCCAAAACTTCTCATTCGTCGGTAAACACTTCGCATGCCAATAGGTCTTCCGTGTTCTGCAAACCATTCATTTGCAATGGACCTGGTAGTGGAGAAACGGTCCTTACGGCCAATAATCTTAGGCGGCGATCTTCACGGTCTGTTGTTCTACGGCGGCGTCCAGTGCCCCTTGCTCTTTGCGTACGGCCTTCTCGAAGCCATGCCTGACAACACCTAACCACAGTGTCTACACTTCTTTGCCCGAAAAGAAAGTCCAGCTTCCCGAAGTCCCACTATACGGCCCCTATCAAACTCACTAAGTTGACGAAATCGTACAGGTCTCCGTACTCTAGGCATCGTAACCGATCGTAAAGGATGTCAAGAACCAAAATCCGCCAACGTTGATTCTTTACTGCGGCTGAAATATTCATTTTTAGAGCGTTAGTGAATTAAAAAAAAGCAGTATAAAAACCGGAATGTCCAACTGATAAGGCTGTATAAAAATAGACGAGGTCAAGCGAATTTTTTCCAGTGCTCTTATCGGCATACATGATGAGTCACAAAGAAATGGCTGATTTGTAACCAATACGATTATTTTGTGCAAAATATAGCTGCAAAATGCAAATAAATGAGAACCATACTGACTCTACCAATACAAATCGAATAGTTTACTTCTGCACACTTCTCGCGCAAAACAGGAAAAAACTCGTTGGAACGCTCTTATCAGTAAATAGAAATAGACCCACAAAAAGTATTTGTCGCTGATTGGTCAACCAATACAATTATCGTCTGCCGAATATTCTACGACGCTTTGCTAGGAGTATGGTTTGTAGGCGGGTCTTTGGTGGTTTTTTATCTCTCACAGGATATTATTGGTTATTCCCTTTGCTTGCTATCATGTAGGAAACGTCGGGACGGGATTTTCAAAATACCCTGACAGTTGAGATTTTGGTACTCGTCGCGACAAAGAGATAGCTAACATCATTTCGATATTCTATGGGGTTGTCAGGAAAGTAAACGTCAATTTGACATAGACGCCATCATTGTTTTCTGTCACCGACATGTCATTTTGTTAGTTGAATGTTTACCGATGATCGCTATGGAGTCGTATTCGATTGAAGACCGCATTAAAGTTATTCAAGAGCACTACAAAAATGGTGCAAAAATAAAAAACACGTTTCGCGCGCTTCGTGAACATTTCGGTCGCAACAACCGCCCAAACGAAACAACCGTCGGTCGTCTGGTGCGTAAATTCGAGGCAACAGGTTCTGTGGCAAATCTGCCAGGCTCTGGCAGGCCAAGGAGCGTTCGCACACCGGAAAATATTGCTGTTGTGAAGGAGAGTGTGAGAGACGATCCGAAACAATCAACAACGCGTCGATCCCAAGAATTGGGCATTTCGAGAACCAGTTTGCTCCGCATTCTCCACAAGGATTTCAATGTACACGCCTCCAAGATCCAATTGATGCAAGAGCTGCGTCGGGCCGACCATTTTTCGCGCCGAACATTCTCAGATTGAACACCGCCAAATTGATGCCAATTTTTCATCAAAAATCATGTTCAGCGACGAAGCGCATTTCACTTTGAATGGGACGGTAAACAAGCAAAACTGCCGTATTTGAGCGAACGAAAATCCCCGTGAGTATCAAGAGCAGCCGATGCATCCTCAAAAAGTGACTGTGTGGTGTGCATTGTGGTCAAAAGGCATCGTCGGACCTCACTTTTTCGAAAATGCGGCCGGGGACGTCATTACCGTCAATTCTGAGCGATATCACGTGATGATAGAGGACTATTTTTTGCCGCAACTTGAAGGAATGGATATGGACGATGTTTATTTCCAACAAGACGGTGCAACATGCCACACAACCAACGTCAATGTCCATCGATTGCAGTCCTTCTTCGGTGATCACGTGATTTCGCGCAGAGGAAATGTGCCATGGCCACCAAGATCGTGCGATTTGACTCCCTTGGACTTCTTTTTATGGGGATATTTGAAAAGCAAAGTCTACGTCAACAAACCAGCCACCCTCCAACAACTCAAAAACAACATCATTGCCGAGATAAATGCCATAGAACCGACCATGTTGCAAAATGTCATTGAAAATTTCGACCATCGCGTGGACGTCTGTAAATCCAGTCGTGGTGAACATTTGAGCGATATTATTTTTCATACATAAATCGTATAAATGAACCTTCAAAATAAAGTACCCAACTTGATTTGAATATCAATGTTTCTAGTTTTAATATGCGTTTACTTTCCTGCGTCCGTTTTGGACACATATAAAGTGGATGCTAGCAGAATACTTGTTAAAGCTTGTCGGAGATAAAGCAACGTAGTTCCTAATATTCAAAATTTTACCACAATCAATCTAATTGCTTAACAACTTGTGCACAAAACACTGCATAACAAAAATCTTTGGTGTGCAAGACTGATCATACCAGAGTGATCTAAAAGAACGTTAAAAAGAATCGTTCAAATGATCGGCGACATGCAGGTCCCTTTAAAATGAAATTACGCAAAAACAGACTCTGATTATTGTCTAGCGAGCTTTCTAATAATTCTAATAATTCTCCATTCACATCCACTGAGTCTTAGATTTAGGTGGGGCTTAGATACTGAGTACGAACTCTGTACAAAGCCGTGACTTTCCTTAACGTTGGACGTACCCATGAAATTCAGCAATGACCCGTGCTGTTTCCCGCCGTCCATGCTGAACAAACTAGCGGCTTCGTTTTCAATCTGCTTGAAAGCGTGAAACGCCATCATAGAAATCGGCGTATCGATAGCCCTTCCGTCGCTGGTGCAAAAGGTCCCTTTGGTGTCGTCGTGTTTTTTCAATGGAGGCTTGAGCAATCCCTCCTGAGCTGCCAGGTTGTAGACTGGGTTCCCGATGCATGCGCCCAAGATATTCGAACAGCCCATCTCGGCTATGACGTCACCCAGCCAGCACGAGTGGATCCTGCCGCCTGGTCTAAGAAAAAAATTAGACTGGAATAAGTACACATTGAAAATACGGTACTAATATAGTGGAGCTCCGGTAATGTGACAAACATTATGCAGGGCAGTGTCGGACTATCGAATTTGTCGGATTATAGAGCACTGCCTAAGAATTTTTTACAAAAGAGTACCTTGTAATCCGACAAATTACATTTCCAATGGTAAGATTATATATGTTATGTATATGTTTGTACTTTGAAGTACAAATCATACATAGTTTATGTATGTCGAATTTAGTAAATTAAATAACAATAGAGAGCTTACGTTTTATTATAAAATTAAGCATAAATGCACATACATATGTACCAAAATAATCAAGTCTTGCGTGGAGAATTTTAAATCCTTACCATCGTCAAAATGCGCAATGAGGGTCTATTTTAAGCGAGTCTATAATAACCGAGGATTTTACAGGCAATCATTTATAGGACCTTAAATTGTGTCCACTATATACGGGAGACCATTATAAGCAAGTTCATTTTAAGTGGATTCCAGTGTAATTAACTTTTCTAGAGAATTACAGAGAAAATTGTTAGATGATGTTCGGTTAGCAATGAGAGTACGGATGTGATAACAGCACGCCGGTGCCCCACCGCATGATCATCGTGGCATAACCGCATGGTTGAATAATCATTATAGACATTGGCCTGCGAGTTCTCCTGATTTGAACCCTATGGATTTCTTTTTGAGGGACGCCTTAAACCCACTACTGTAGAATAGAAAGTATAGATAATGCGTTTCATCAATTTCAAGCCACAACAAATTTTGCAGAAATACGTCTTTCTTTATTAAAAAGATGCCGCACTTGTATCCATCAGAATGGTGGTCTTTTTAAACGTTTATTGACATAAGGCTTGTTTTTATTTTTGCGAATACAATGCGCTCTAGGAAAAAACACAAAAATCAATTATTTGTAACAAATTGAAGGTAATAATGCCACTAATCCCCTGTATCTCCGCCACTGGTGCACGTTAGTTTTGAGTACAGACTTTTGAGTGTGGATAATGCAATCCACATAACAAATTTAAGTTGATGGTTTTGAAGATATTAAAAAAAATGTTTTTTATTTTTACATATTTCATTACAATCTTTTTAATGGATTTTACATGGAAAAAATGTTACACACGAGGAAAAAATGTTACACAGAAGACGCAATCTTGTGTATGATGTTTCATTTTTGTCCACCCTGCATACAAAATGTGGTCAATAAATGTATTTTCTTTTGCTTTATCATTCCATTGATCATTGTACTTAACATTTTGTGATTCAGTCAGAATCTAGCCTTCCTACTATTCAATACATGCAATTTCAGAAATAAAATATTTCTCAAGAAAGCGCACTCACGCAATCTCGAAATACGTTAGAAGATAAATATTGACTGATCACAGTAAATACTGATCGCCTCATTTTTTTAATATACTAAGTGACATATAAATCCGAACACCCAGTTTAAATGGTTTTATTTTAATAAAAGTTGGTGAATGTATTTATCTTACTGTAAATAACAAGAGAAAAAATTTTCAGCCTTATCAGTTGGACATTCCGGTTTTTATACTGCTTTTTTTTAATTCACTAACGCTCTAAAAATGAGTATTTCAGCCGCAGTAAAGAATCAACGTTGGCGGATTTTGGTTCTGGACATCCTTTACGATCGGTTACGATGCCTAGAGTACGGAGACCTGTACGATTTCGTAAACTTAGTGAGTTTGATAGGGGCCGTATAGTGGGACTTCGGGAAGCTGGACTTTCTTTTCGGGCAATTGAAGTTAGAGTGCAAAGAAGTGTAGACACTGTGGTTAGGTGTTGTCAGGCATGGCTTCGAGAAGGCCGTACGCGAAGAGCAAGGGGCACTGGACGCCGCCGTAGAAGAACAGACCGTGAAGATCGCCGCCTAAGATTATTGGCCTTAAGGGACCGTTTCTCCACTACCAGGACCATTGCAAATGAATGGTTTGCAGAACACGGAAGACCTATTGGCCTGCGAAGTGTTTACCGACGAATGAGAAGATTTGGCTTGTTTTCATACCGGCCACACTGGGCCCTCCCTTTAACTCGAGCACACCGACGTAATCGCCTTGAGTGGTGCAGACAACGGTCACTCTGGAATCAGGAATGGAACAGTATTGTCTTTGGTGACGAGTCTCGATTTTGTTTAGGCATGCACGATGGTCGTGCCAGGGTTAGAAGGCGACGTGGTGAAAGGAGGAATCCACAGTTTTTTGTTGAAAGACATGTTCATCACACTGTTGGAGTTATGGTTTGGGGTGCTATAGCTTATGGTTCCAGGTCATCTTTAATCTTCATCAGAGGTAACATGAATGCGCAGCGTTATATCCACGAAGTTCTAGAACCCCATCTTTTACCCTATCTTGACACCCTGGCAGATCCAACTTTCCAACAAGATAATGCCCGACCACATGTTGCAAGAGTCACAACAGACTTCTTTCAACATAATGATGTCACATTATTACCATGACCACCAAGGTCTCCCGACTTATCCCCAATTGAGCACCTGTGGGATATGATGGGTAGGAGATTGCTCAATTTGCAACGTCCTCCTCAGACTCTAGAAGCACTTCGAGAGGAGTTGGTGGTTGCCTGGAATGAGATACCACAGGAGGACATTGACCACCTCATCAGAAGCATGCCTAGGCGCGTTGGAGAATGCGTAGCACATCAGGGTGGATGCACACATTATTAAAGGTCAAAGGGCTTTAAAGCAGTGCAATCATTTTGAAATTTTTATCATTTACTTATTATGCTTCATTAAGTACTTATACAAAATTTTATTAAAATAAAACCATTTAAACTGGGTGTTCGGATTTATATGTCACTTAGTATAGTATGTGTTTGTTGAAGATCTAAATACCTGTCGGTGGCCTCCAAGATAGTGAAATTGCTGACTCCACACTGGACCAATCTCTGCGCCGCAGAAAGTCCCGCAATTCCAGCTCCGACGATGACAACAGACGGTTCCGGCTTGCAAGGATCCACCATACAATCGGAAATTGTGCATACTTGAAACTCCCCCTTTCCACATCCCTGTTCGCTGCTATACTCTCTCTTCGATTCACCGCCAATATGAGCTACGTTTGAAGAGCAGCTTCGTTTGCTAGAACTCCTCAAAAACTCCCTGTGCGGAAAAAACTTTTTTCAAAAGGTCAGGATTAACGTTGGTGCTGAATATGGATCACATGTTCCCCTGTCTCCCTTCCAAGCCTAGCACCTCCAATGTCGCCAGATTGAACGCTACGTTGCCAGACTCATCACCTAATTTACATACCTGGTAGGCTTGGCTTCTGGTCTATTCCAATTTGATTATTATTCTATTTTTATACTGAGCGAGAAAACAAGGCCTAGGCCTTGCCATGAACAACAAGTGATAAAATGGTCAGGTGTATTGTTTGGTGATAAAGAAGCATTCAGTTTTCGTACATTTGAGTATCTAACTGAGAAATCCCTTATAAGCAAGGTTAATATGTTACACCAAACTGTAGATGCTAGCAATGGTTGGGACTAAGGAAAGTTTCCCAAACACGTAAAAACTTGAATAAACTGTTCAAAATGCGCTACCAAAAACTCCATTTTGCATTACTTCGTCTCACATATGAATAATGGGTCAAGCATTAATAATGAATATATTCAGACTTGAAGATGCACACATGTCTTTGAGAACAATTGCTTTCAAACTCTTACCTGGTATCAAGTTTCGTAATAATGATTGTTGAAGAAATATGTATACCTGTGTCTCCTAAAAAGAAGGAGAAATAACGGCTTCAGTGTCTTCAAAATCATGATGTTGTACTGGAATTTTGGTAATGATCGAAATGTCGACTTTGGTGATGGATATGGCAAATGTACATTTGATGGCTGTCAAAAAACTCACGACTGAAAGACTTTGCTGTTAATTTAGGATACTGAAATGCTAATCTATCAAGCCTCGTTATTGATTATCGCGAGTATCCGCGAGGGCTGAGCCTAAATATAGAGGGGGTTGCAACTAGCGACCCTCGACATTAACTGTTGATTCCTGCCGTTGTACTGAAGAGATGTCCAGTCATTTCGCGTCTCTTCCAGATACCTCAAGAATCCGGAACTTTCCCTGAAAACAGGAAACTTGCTCATCCCAAAATAAGGATCTAAGACCGATCCTTAGAGCTACAGGCGTATAGCTCTGCTTTCTGTTATAAGTATAGTGATGGAAGGGTGCATCAATTGGGAGCTACGAGTACCTCATCTCAGCAACAATCACCAAGAAATCAAGTTACCACCTGAATGTTTTGTATAAACAGCAGAACTGGATTCCATTCCTCAGCTTTAGCACCCAGTCAAAGTTAACAACATATTACGTTTAATGGCTTCAAGTCATAGCAGTAGGCAACTATATCGGGAGTGCCTCAGGGTTCAAACCTTGGTCCGTTATTGCTCACCTTATTTACAACATTTGAGTTGTGATAAAATCCTCTTTGTGGATCCTTTAGTAGCTCAGTGTGACGAGAACAATTTACTTCTTAATGCGTCTAAGTGTAGTTTAGTCAGATTTTCCAGGAGAATGTCTGTTCGTAAATTTGATTATAAGATTTGGATGTTTAAATAAATCGTTATAACTCAATTAAGAATTTGCATCGTTAATTTGGAACCCAATTTACGACTACTACATTGATTATCTTGTTCATAAACTTTAATGTAAAGTATTCAAAGAAGTACCGTTAAAACCTTTTACTGTGAAAGGGCACAAATTGATTTTATGTAATATGTGAAACTTTCAATGCTATATTTGTTTATTGATATGCTGAACGTTTGAACAGCATTCTGAGAGTAGCTAGGAATTACTTAAATAATTTATGATATGTTTGTCACTTTTGAATATCTTTTTTATTTGTTATTTTCTTCTTCTTTTTGTATGTTTTCTATTTTTTTTTAGTTTGATGTATCTTTTCAGGATTGCCCTGTAAATGGTCTCCTTAACTGTTGGACAACAAACGATATTCATTAGAATTGATCGCGATCAATCAAGGTATTAAATACCGTTTTAAATTCCTAACAATTTTGTCATTTTTATCGATTGTATAAGTGGTGTAAAAAAAAAATGGAGAATTGACATCCCACTGCAGATCTTAATCAACTACGAGCCCCTTCCCACTTCAGTTGGCCCACTCAAAAACGTTTTAGATACACTCTAGTCGTAAAAAATACATATTTGAAATCACTTAGACCTATAACTAATAGAACATCCGAACAAATAAACAATGTGCGAATAAAGTTAACAAAGCAACAATTGAATGATTACCATTGGGTCACATCACCTTTATTTTTTATTACGGCTGAAATTCTTTGGGGCATAGTTCTTACCTTAGAACCGTGAGTAGTCTAAGAAGTGGGCATGTCTTGACACCCCACCATAAAACAAGTACCAGCTTTGATTAAGTAAATGAAGAACATCTATCTATTTATTTATACACAATTGCCCGACAAGCAATCCCAATCACATGGCAACATAACTAATAACAATGTACATTGCAATTTTTCAAATAAACAATTCAACCTTTATTTTGTCGTTTATATCAGTCACAATTCCCTTATTGACGATACTACCAGCATTCTTCAAGGACAAAGTGCGTCTCACAGTTTGTATCGGTGCATTAGACAATTGTTTCCTAGTTACAGGTGTTAAAGATATTATTTCGTTCCAGGCGTAGTCTATGTCTTCTCTTTCTGTCAACCTGCTGCATATCACAAACCTAATGACGAGTTTCGATTGTATATAATAGGGCATTATGAAGAGCTTTTTCCTTTCTGCTATCCTGTCGAGCAGCTTTTGGGTGAGCTGATCTTCTCCTTTCAATCTGAAGCACACTACTCCCAGGCAAGATATCAACACTTCGTATCTTTCGTCGTTTCTGACCAGTTTTTCAAAGTACTTTGCTAGGCCGACTTGGTGCCGTATGTGTTTTTGGATGCCTTGGACGCCATAGATTCTCATCACGAACCACAGCTTCAACGCTCGAAATCTTCTGCAATTTGGTATCTGCCAGTGCTCGATCTCGTATTCGTACTGCGGTTCCTCCTGGATGGTACTTTTGACCTTGAAAGCTTCCTCGGCGTCTTTCGTGTTCCTGAACCACATCGCTGAACAGTCCGAGTTCGTCAGGAACCACTTGTGCGGATTGAAGTTGAAGGAATCTGTGTATTCAACGCCTGGAAACAAGGTATCAAGTATTGTCGTACTTCTTTTCTTATCTATTCGAATTTGTTAGTCATTACATATATACTGTCCTCCCAACTATAAAAACTGAAGCGCTCATTACCAGTCCACCCGAGGACAGCACCCGCTCCGAGACTACGGCAGTTCCTAGACACCTAAATGGTCCAGCACCGCACCATATTAGGCACCTGATCAGGGAGAACAGAAGACTCAAGCGAGAACATCTCCAACTGTTGACAGAGGAGTCGAGAGTTGCGCGAAACAGAGCATCGCTAGCTCTGAAGAACGCACTCGCGGAACTCCAAAACAGCAGATGGAATGCAGCCTGTGCAGAACTAGAGACCCAGGATGGTACGGCCTGGACTATGCAGCGAAAATTCCGTCGTCAGCGCACCACGATCCCCACTCTTCACGGCCAACGCGGCTTGGCCTACTCCAGTGAAGAAAAAGCCGAAGCATTCGCCGATTCGCTAGAATCCGAATGCAGACTCAATTACCATGAAGACGAGGACGACAACCACGAGGAGGCCGTGGAAGTCGCAGCCGAAAGCATGAGGAGTCGACCACCTGGCCATGAGACGGATCACCCCTCCAGTCCAGAGGAAATCCGTCTGATCATCCGCAGGTTGAAGGTCAGAAAGGCGCCGGGAAGGGACGGCATCAACAATAGGATGCTGAAGAACCTTCCCACCAAAGGCATTGCTGCGCTCACCAACATCGCCAATGCCACTCTGAGACTTAACCACTTCCCGCGGCGGTGGCGGGAAGCCCAGGTTATAATGCTCACCAAGCCAGGCATGGACCGGAAGTTGCCCCAGAACTACCGGCCCATCAGCCTGGTTTCCTCGATGGGCAAAGTAGTCGAAAAGGCTATCGCCGTTCGACTAGAGAAGCAGGCAGAAGAACTGCAACTTCTCCCCCCAGAGCAATTCGGCTTCAGATCCTCCCACAACACGGATCTCCAAGCGCTACGACTGACGGAAAACATCACCAGCGGCTTCAATCTCCAGGAGGCAACCGGTCTCGTCCTGCTGGACGTGGAACGAGCCTTCGACCGAGTTTGGCACGATGGACTCATCGCCAAAATGGAAGCCGCCGGAATCGATGCGAACATGTGCCAACTGATCCAGAGCTATCTAACACAAAGATGGTTCACGGTGAAGATTGGTACATGCCATTCAACAAGACGACAGCTGGAAGCAGGCGTGCCCCAGGGGTCAGCCTTAGCCCCCCTGCTCTACAACATCTATACTCACGATGTGCCGAAGACAGCTGACACAATGCTGGCTCTATATGCAGACGACACTGCTACAGCCGCCAAGCATAGACGACCCGAGATCATCCGTAGGAGACTACAGGATGAACTGGACCATATCCAGGACTGGTGCGTGAAATGGAAAATCCGCATCAACGTCCAGAAGACGCAGGCAATCTTCAGTCAACGAAGAAGGATTGCAAGACCTCTCGAAGCCAGTGGAGCGACAAAGTCAAATATCTGGGGATCGTATTTGACAAGTCCCTCACCTGGAAAGCCCACATAGAAGCTGTCATCGCAAAGACCAGAGCAGCCATAGCTCAACTCTACCCATTACTGGGTAGACACAGCCGGATGCCGCTAGCGACCAAGCTGCGGGACCAGGATCAACCAGCACCAGGACCCGCCACGACCAGGACCCACCAGGACCAGGACCCTTCAGGACCAGGACCAGGAACAACATATTTGTAAGAGGACTTGAAACTCTTGATTTTTCGAAAACAAGAGTTTCAAGAGAACCAGCAGACCCTCTATCGATGATCGCTTAACGACATCGATAGAATGTGCGAGGTAAAGGGAACCAACCCGGCGTTCCCAGAGACTGAAACACATGAGAAGACGTTGTAGCAGACCGCAGGTCACGCACAACACATGGCCTACCGAGACGCTGATGAGTCAGGCCACGCGGAGGTTTAGGGTTTAGTGGGTATTAGGTGATCTCCTCAAGACCCTGGAGTCCCACACACGCCGTAGCTCGGGCTATGGTATGGTGCGTAAATGCATTCCCCCCTCACCAAAAAAAAAAAAAAAAAAAACAGTCCACCCGATAGTAAGTACAAAACAAAAAACACCTGCTGCCATTGGGATTTGAACCTATGACCACCCAAATTCTACCCGTTACAAGGAGTACCAAACGCGTGACTCAGAACGTCGTAGGTTCAAGCCCGATCAATAGCAGGTTTTTTTTATTCTTTGTAAGATTAAGATTGGATAACCTCATGCTCCCTTGTCGTTTTAGCATATAACAGAACCTTGTAACGACACTGTATAGGAATGTGAAAATGAAAAGGAAATGCAAAGTTTCACCTGGAAGGTAGATAAATAAAATCTATTGTCAAAAAAGTGTCAATTGTACTGAAGAAGGTCACCGTTGCAACCGAAACGTATATAATAAAGAAAAATCTTATCACACATGTGGCCAAACAAACATGAAAACACATATTCTGGACCCTACTCAGGTTTTTTGGAACATAAATACTGGAGCGCTCTTTACTTATTGGCCAACTAGTGATTAAAAAACAAAAAAAAACATGCTGCCCTTGGGATTTGAACTCACGACCACCCGAATTCTAGCCGTGACGAGGAGTACCAAACGCGTTATGAGGAACGTCGTAGGTTCAAACCCCAGCAGTGACAAGTTTTTTTTTGTTTTTTAGATTTTTACGGATTGTTTCTCGTTTACCTTTCATCAAATG